GAAGAGAAAAAGAAAGAGAAGGTTAAACCAAAAGTCAAGCTACCTTACCCTCAGAAAGTTGCAAAGAAGGATCAGAAAGAGAAGGACTTTGAAAAGTTTAGCACAATGTTTAAAAAGTTAGAAATCAATATGTCATTCTTTGAAGCACTTGAGCAAATGTCCTTGTACAAGAAATTCATGAAAGAGGTCATGGGAAAAAAGAGGACAATGGGTGAGGAGCATAAAATCTCAACTGAGTGCTATAGTGAAATATCACAAGGAAGGAAAATCCCCATCAAGCGGAAAGATCATAGACCTGTAGCAATTCCTTGCACTATAAAAGATAGAACTTTCAATAAGGTCTTCATTGATTCAGGTGCTAGTGTGAGTTTCATGCTTTTATCCATTTTCAAAAAGCTGGGTATTAGAAATGTGAGCAATACAGGAACAAACTTGAAGTTTTCCAACCACGCGAATAAGAGGTCATATGGGCTAGCAGAGGATGTAATGGTGATAATTGATAACTTTATTTTCCCAGTTGATTTTGAGATTATGGATATTCAAGAAGATGAAGAGACTTCCATCATACTTGGCTGACCATTCTTGCTTACTAGTTGGTGCAATGTTGATATTGAAACAGGTACTCTAACCTTGAAATATTTTGAAGAAATAACTTTAAAAGTGTTGGACATCAAGAAGCGAGGTAAAGAGGTAGATATTCAACCTTCAGTTAGAATGATAAAAACAATGAAAAAAGGTAAAAGTTCAAAACCACTTCTGAAAAATGTCTCTGGTGTAGTTTATCAAGTTGCAATATCTCACGCGTCCAAGGCACATAGTGAGACTCCAAAATCCATTCGAGGAGTCAAGAATAGAAAAGTTGGATGTGATTTGATACACAAAGTGGCGGTTATCTCTGAACCTGACAGGTCCTTTGTTGCGGAAAGTTCAAGCAACAAAGTATGGAAGCTGAAATACCCCCCATAATAATGGGGAGTTAACCGTCGAGCCATGCGACATTAAACAAAGCGTTATGTGGGAGGCAACCCACGGTTTTAATGATTGATGTGTTTCTTTTACTGTCATTTTATTTTGTTCGCATGTAATAAACGAGACCTTACAAGTGCAAGCTAGAGTGGGGCATTACCCTCCAACTCCTCAGTAAGGATCTATGTGATTACATCTCTCCCACTCCTGTTCTAAAACTTTGAGGACAATGTTTAGTTCAAGTTTGGGGGAGCTTTTACTGTTTTGAGTTTTCGTGATTATGCACTTTTTATTTGTGTTTGGGTCCTTTTGTTTAAAAATCGCTGTGAACTCTCCCCGAATGAGGATCATAAAAATATTTTGTGAATACTATGATGTGTGAAGTAGTCAGGAAAGCATATAGGGTTTGAGGGAAGAAAAGTTGAAACTAGGGAATTTGGGAAAGTTTGGAGACTGAGGTATAACCTAAACACCCTAGATTCCCCAAAGTAAGGTATCAAGTCCAACGTGTAGATTTGTGCCATAGTACTTAGATTTGAGAAGTATTCCCCGATTAGTTCATAGTAATGGTCCGACACAATTAAAAAGAATCGCATGTATAAAGTTGATTAAGAGAATGACTTATGGCACCCAAAAAAATAATATATGATGAATAATGATGGAAAAGACAACTGATCCTTCTAAGTTGGGTAACCCTCACCTAGTTATTTATCCTAACGGCGGTTGAATCTCTATAGTCGTCTCAAAGTGGACTAATAAACATCAATGCGCGAGAAAAAAAAATAAAGGTGCCTTGAAAAAGTCTCGATCCACTCTTATACATGTGAAGGAAAGCGATCAAAGTGTCTTAATCTGATTATCTAAATGAAAGGGGTAGAAAATCGAAGAAATGACTTAAGCCCAAAGCATAGTTTGAGAGGTGACTGAAAGGGGGATTTAGGTCAGTGGTGTTACTGCGGTATGTGTTTGTGTAATACCTTCGTTAATGGACAATTACCAAGAGAACTAATTTTAACTGATTAGAACAAAAACTCACGTATGAGTATCGACACACCTTACTTTCACAAATATTTTAGTTGATATGTACCGTTTGATATGAAAAATATTTATCCAAGCTTGTTGATTGAGGTCAAGCAACGGTTTAAGTTTGGGGGAATTTGATTAGTGATTTTTATACATTATTTTACCATGAGTTTTAGTTGATTGTCTTATACGTTTAGTTGCATTCTATGTCCTTTTATCACATTTTATACGTTGGTTCTGTATTTCCATTGTTTTTAGGTTCAGGTAAGCAATCAAGAAGAATCAGAGCAAAAACTGAGAAAAACAGCAGGAATTCGGAAGAGTTTTAGAAGTGAAACAGGGGTCTGACACGACCACTCGTATCACCTGACACGGCCCGTGTCAGAATGGTACCAACATGAAGAAAGTATAGGGTTGGACAGTGGCCTGACACGGGTGCCCGTGTCAAGAGGTTTGGAGAAAACTACTTTTACAGTAGATATCCAGGGGGCCAACACGAGCATGCACTTCATCTTCCAATTTTCTTATCTTTTGGGCCTTTGTGATCCCTAAGTGTATTTTGATTATTTTCCTATTATTGTGTTGGACCTGAGAGTATTTAAGATAGGTTTTGAGAAGGAAAAAAGGACTTTTTGGCCAGAGAAGAATTACACGATCAAGATTGGAGAGATCAAGGTGATTGGGAAACTAAAGGTTTTCATGAGCGGAAGCTATTGAAGATCAAGAAATCCTATTATCTTGTAATGTCTAGTTTTTCTTTTGTATTTTCTTCGAATAATATGAGTAACTAAACCCCCCAATGTTAGGGGATCTCCCTGATTTGAATCTGTAACGACTCTGATATTATTATTGCAATGACATTTCTTTTGTTTTCATAACTGATTTGATCTCTAGTTGTTCTTAATACTTGCCCTGTCGGACCAATAACGTTTGATTTATGATTAACGATTAGGCTAGACCGTCGTTGTTAAGGCTTTGCTTTTGATTATTTTGTAGTAAATATCACCTAGGACTAGGGATACCCTGTAGGAACCAGAATAGTTCTTGATAATTGATTGCTTAATCTCACTTATAATTCTCTATGGACATAGGAATTAGGATAGACGATTAAAGGTTTTCTTACTAAGGACAGTAAACATTCTAAAGAATCGGTAATTAGTTAGTTATAATAAGTTGTTGTAATGTTAATTCAGAATTGTTACCGAGTCAAATCATACACTTCCCTTAGTATGTTACTCATATCTGTTTAAACTACTTAGTCAATTTCTCTCTTTTACTTGCAAATATTTTTATAAGTCAACCAAACAATCTTAAAACCCTAAGTACTTTTGTTCAGTTGAATTATTTTAGAGCTTGTATTTTCTATGCAGTCCTCGAGATCGATATTTAAGAAAATCCCTATTATTACTAAATTGACAAAATAATACACTTGTTATTTTACCAATCACGCGCTAACTTTATCTCCTCATAAAACCTACCCTAAAATTATCTCCCTTTCAAACATCCTTAGTATCCTTCCTCCTCGTGCCTGAGAAAAGACTATCATCGTCCCTTTTGATGAAACTCTTTTCCAATGCCTACCACGCATGACACCTCTTCCATAAAGTTACGACAAACATCATTGCCCTACATCTCAATGTGCATGCCTTTGTCCTCCTCTACCCTCTGGTCTTCTGAACCATCATCTTTCGTCTTTGATGAGTTCCATTCCCTTTCTGCGGCTAAAGGAAAATTTATTCTCATCAGTCCGTAAGAATCTTCACCACCTTGATGTCGAACATTAACCTTCACATTGAATACTTCATTTAACACTTTCTTGAGAAATTCTTCCTAGATGATTTTTAAGACAAACAAAAGTTTAAATTTTTCATTTGAAGTAAGATAACAAAATTGTTTGGTGAGTATTGCCCTACATATGAAATTAATCTTTTATGATCTTATATGCTAACATTACCAATCACTTTTCATTCCTCGTCATAATTTCTAGATATGTTTTTGAAAAATTATTTTCTTGAATATATGTTTTTGAAAAATTATTTTCTTGAAATTTAGAATGAAATATTTTCTTTAACAGCCAAATTCACTCGTTACTTATCAGGTATCACTACTCGTATGGTCCGTACCAATATCTTACCTATTTTTTTTATTTTTTTATTTTTTTTTATTTTTTAAGTAGGTACTTCAACATGTATACGCGAAATTTATTTTTTTAATGGTATAGTTTTATACTTTTTTTTAATGGGTTTTTTCAATGCTGATGGAGAGTTTAGCCAATTTAATTCGGTGCAAGATTGATAAATCTTGAAACCAAAGGAATAGTGGATAATTTATGGATCTTCAATCACTAAACTTCAATCCATTGCATTAAAACTCCTCACGTATCGGTATCTTAATTTTTCTCGTACCCGTATCTTTGCTACGCAGCAAAATACAATAGACTCGTGTCATTTTAATCAAGTGATCTTAATGATATGAGTAACTTCAATCTTTGGTGTATGAACTCAAAAAACTATATTAAAATTATCAAAGAAAATCATAGAGTTCAAAAAAAAATTACTTATTAAAGATTACGACAGCCATTAAATTAAAAATTTTAAATTACAGCAACAATAAAATAAAAATAAAAATATTTATATCATTATTAAGGTAACGCGGTTAATAATTATATAAAAATATATGTGATAAGATGGATATTTGAACGTTGGACGTTTTACTTATTCATATTTTTTAACTACTAAACTACTTTAAAAAAATCAACGCCAAACTTATGATTCTTGTACCTATCAAGTATTAATATCCATTTAATTAGTTCATAATCATGTTGTTTATTGTGCTTCTCCTTCTCCTTTCAGTGTTCCATATTTGATATAGCTTTTTTATAAAGACAAAAATAATAATATTAATAATAAGTAGAAAAAACTAACAATCAGAAAAACAAGATAAAAACAAGACAACAACCAGACAAGTCATCAGGAACACTACCTAGGATCAAAAACCAATTGACTCCATTTTCACCCAGTATAGTTTTTCACACGCACAACATCAAGACCATTCTCTAATTCTTTCACCAAATTCATGAAATAACTTTGAGTCACCCTGGTTAGAGATTCTAGATACCGTTGAAATTCTTCAGCTTGTCTCCCATATACATATACAATATCTGCACAATAATGAAGCCTATCCAAAACAGCTTGAGCTATTCCTTGGATGTGATCAAAAAACTCAATCTTAGCACTTTCATCCTCAGGGAGATAGTATCCATATACATAACTCCATTTGAGAATTCCTCTAAATTCAACCACAAGTTTCCATGTATACAATAGATCTAAATTAGTTCCGTACTTATTCAATGATTTACTCATCTTAGTCAAGATTCGCAGAGCCAATTGTCTTGAAATTTCATTGTTAGCCCAACCTTGATGGTAGTAACTGTACCTGTCCAGATGATTTTTCGGATGGTTTCTATGCATTATATCTTCAAATACCCGAATATGTTCGCCTTGTATTGCATAACATATACATCGAACTTGGAGACATGACCAGCAAAATTGAAAGCCACATTTGCATATCATATGATTGCACCCTTTGTTTTTCTGAATGGGAATCTTACAGCTAGGGCATGGTTTTGTGTTAGCAATAATCCAACCACTGGTTGTGATTTTAATTTCAGAACTAATCTTTTTCATCCATTTAGCAACAGTTTCACAATCCAAAGGTGAATGACCTTGTTCGCCACAATTCCAACAAAAGACATGACAACAAAAGCATGTAACATCATAATTTATTCTAGACCTAGAACTGCTAGAATCATGAAAAACTGGTTCAAAACTTACGGCATAACGACAATTTGGCGCAGGACACCACTTCAGTTTCTTATCATTGTTGTTTTCCACATAAGACCTAAGCAAAAAATAACCATAATTAACCTTTCTTGACTTACTTGCTAATCGTAGAATCATGTCTTCATCTACAGCTGCATCACAAGAAGGTTGAGGGCATTTGAGTTTGAAGCAGTTGCGATCCTTGATACTTATATCAATATATTTGTTCCAGCATTTGACACAAAACGGATGACCGCACCATGATGACTTAATCTGATTACGAGAAAAGGTTTCAAAACAGATATTACATTCTGATTTCGGAAACCCTAATTCCACTATTTGAGGTTGGTTTGATAAACCTATGGTTTTGAGAACTTTTTGTTGGTCATTGAACCATGATTCACAAACATCTACCAAGTTCCATTTGTAGTAAGAGAGTAGAAGGCATGCAACAGATCTTGATATGGAGAGAATCTTTATAGCTTCATTGATGTCAGCCTCTTGAAGACGCTTTATATGAGACTCACTAAAAACTGAGAAGCGAGGTTGTTTTGCAGTGATAGCGTTAGTCGCATATTCGCCATCGTCTTCGAGGCTGCCGAAATCTGTTAATGTTGTCATACTAGGGTTCATATGAGACAGCAACTTTAACCCTAATATATGATTCAATATATAGATTATATAAGAGCATCTTTAATTAAACTAAATGGGTATTTTTTATGGGGCCAAACTGTTTCGTAGGATTTAAAAAATTTATAATTGATTTGATTAGTTTTTATTTTAATGATGATTGTCTATAAGAAACCAAAATTTGACCCCGCATTTTATATTTTTTATTCAAGTTACCATTAATTTAATTATTTTAATTAAAATACATATAATTTTTTTAATAAAATTTACTTTAAAAACTTAAAATAATATTAAATATATTTTATTATAAAATTAAAAATGATACAAAATTTACAACAATAATACATGGAAAAAAATTATATTTTCATAGGAATATAAAATAATACATGACAATAAAGAATACCATATGACCCTAATGATTTAACTTTAATCCTCATGTTTTCTCTTCAATACACACAAAGTAGAGTATGATTTAACTATAAGTCTCATGATTTCTCCACCATACACACAACTCATGAATAGTACCATATGACTCTTGTGATTTAACTTTAACCCTCATGTTTCCTCTTCAATACACACAAAGTAGAGTATCATAGAAACCTCATGATTTAACTCTAAACCTCATGATTTTTCTTTAATAAATCCTATAATTGTGAAAACAACATAAAAGACTCAATTTGGTGGTAGATATATTGAACCAAAGGTCTCATCTTCCACAGCTATAAATCAAATGTCATATTGAACTTTATTTTTGTTTATATAAAATCACACCCAAACCTTGAAATTGAAATTTTTATGTTTATTTGCGTATTTTTTCACTTTTAAAGTTCACTTTCATTTAAAGATTCCTATTTTCAAGTATATGCATGTCCTTTAAAGTTTTATGTTTTTAAATCAAAGTTTTAAAAATTCATGTTAGTATTAGTTTGTTTGGTCATGGTTGATTTATTGTGTTTGAATTGGCTTGTACATAATTGATTTTCATAAAATTGAGTTTAGTAGAATTTAGTAAAATGTGTTTATGTTTGGATACATTCATTTAAAAGTGATTTAAAATCAAAAGTTACTTTAAAAAAATTTAAATTTGTGTTATTTAGAAAAAACATATAAACATGTTTTCCATTGGAATATTTTATTAGTATTAAATAATATTATAATATGTTTTCCATTGAATAGTTAACATCAACTATATAGATAATGAAACTAAATTTTAGTTTATTAGATGTCAGGTCAACTCTAATATAATGCAAATTATTTATTACTAACGTAAGCTATACAAAATTTTAGTTTAACAAACATGCGCTAAAATTGCTCTAACGAAGAAGTTGCTCTAACGAACAAACCTGTGATTGTGTGAATATATTTAGAATTAGTAAGCATTCTTTTAGGTAAGATACGATCTTCTAGGGTATATAGTTATATATTAACATATTTCAATTTCTTAATTTATCAAATATTTTATTCTCATAACTTTATTTAAACAACTTATTGGAATATGTGATTCGATTTATTTTTTATCCTGACAATTTAAAAATTATATGATATTGAAAATATATATTTTTAAAGTTTTTAAATGATTAAAATTATTCAGTTAGAGATTAAAATTATTTATAGTTATTTGATGTATAATGTTATTATATTTTTTATCATTGTACTGATTAAAAAGTGTGTGTATGTTTCTTTTGAAAAAGTAGAGAGATTCAAAAATCTTATAGATTTATAACCCGATATGGTGGTTATGACTTGTGCACGATGACGGAAAGCCTTGTACGGTGGTGTTTTGAGGTAGTTTAGGAGACTTGCTCACGTAAGGTGAAAGATTTTACTAATGATCAGTTATGCTTGGTAACAAGCGTATTTACCAGCAACTGTGTGATAAGGTTGTAGTGAGCGTTGTGCTCTTATGGTGTAGAGAATGTGTATCACTTAGCGTATGTGTCTTCTCTACTTTAGAGGGTGTATTTATAGGGGCATCTAGGACCTAGGGTTTGAGTCATCCTTAGTGACGTCAACTGCTTCCTTCCTCTCATAGGAAGTTGTTGACCACCTATATTTCAGAAGTTAGTGGAGACTCCTTCTTTCTTGACTCTCACATCAAGGATGCTTCTGGAGAGTCTTTGGGTCATCACTCAGGAGAAACGACTCTTGGGCGGGTCTATGGATCATCACCGGGGCAACACGACTCTTGGGCGAGAACGCTTTAGCTTAGGACTTTTACAAATACAAACACTACATAATCCCTCAAGTACGGGGGCTTTTCTAAGAGAAAAGTGTTTTTAAACTCTTTGAGCGCACCCCTTGTCATATAAGTAATTTCTATGGATGAAGATAACCATACTCACTAGGCAAGTCCCTCAGCTAGGTGTGAGTCTCTCAACTAAGAGTGAACCCCTTAGCTAGGGGCGAGTCCCTTAATAAATAGTGAGTCCTTCAACTAAGGGTGAGTCCTCTCAGCTAAGGACGGGTCTCTCAACTAAATGTGTCTATTTATCATGACCCTTAATTAGGGCTGGAAATGAGCCGAGTCGAGTTGGACTCACCTCAGTTCGGCTCGACTTGTAACACCCCAATTTTTAATAATTATTAATTAAATTAAATTAATTGATTTTTGTGATTTATTTGATTTAAATGAATTATTTGATTTATTAAATTTATATGAGTTAATTGATTTAATTGATATAATCTAAATATGTGATTTATGGAATTAATTAAAGTAATTGATTTATTCTATTTGATAGAATAGTGTATAATTGCTAGATTAATTAGTTGGGCCTGATTATAGGTGTGTGAATAGAAAGTGAGGGTGAGTTGGGTTAAACCCAATAACTTAAGAATTAGGGTTTTAGAGAAGGGAAGTTAGTAAGAGAAGGAGAAAGGGAAAAAGAGAATAGAGAACATAGAAGAGAAGGAGAGAAGGAGGCAAGAGGGAAAGAAGAGTGGAAGGGAGAAATTCAGAATTCAAGCATCCAAGGAATCAAGGATTCTTCCCAAAGAAAAACCTAAGGTAAGGGTGGGTATTCTCTCATTATTGGGATTGTGGGTTAATGATTAATGGGTAGAAGTTTGTGTAGAGTAAAATCCTTAGATTTCTCATGATTTAGTGAATTTTCGATTATCATGAATTCCCTGATATGATGGAATCGATTTCTGTAGCAAAGAAGGGAATGGTTGGTGAAAATACAATTTTCTGAACAATTTTTCGAAAACGCACGGTGAGCAATCGATTGCACTGAGACTACAATCAATTGCACACTTAGAAAAGCTGCTGGAAGTTGAATTTTTAATTGAGCAATCGATTGCACTAATATGCCAATCGATTGCACAACCAAACAGTAGCTAAAATGATGAAATTTTCAAAGGTACAATCGATTGCACTTAAAAACAGTAGCTAAAAATATGAGAAATTGAGTCATACAATCGATTGCATAATAAATCCAATTGATTGCATGTTGTACAAAAGCTGAAATTTGGAAAAGTCATGTACTGGGAGTTTAATTACACAGAGTCATTGTTTAATTAAATCTTAACTAAAACATGGATTGATTGAGATGATTATTGATTATTTACTTGAGTATTGGTTGATTATCAACTTTGGGTTGGTTATTGAGATATCAATTGTTGTTTAACAAGCTTATTGTGTATTGAATATTGAATTCAATTATTAGTGATGGATTGATTGTCTTATGTGTAATCGTTGAATTGTGTTGTGAATTGTGATTGAATCTAATTGATTCTTGTGCATTACTTGATAAATGTAGTGAAGATGTTGAAAGTATGAATACTTTGATTATTATGAAATGTTTTGTGTGTGCAATCATGTTATAATTCTTGTGTGATGAATTATTTGGGAATGCATGGGATTAAGATGCGAGAACGGTCTTAAGTGCATATGGTTGTTGATTGCATACGCATCATTTGTTATCAAGAGGCAATGCTTGCTAGTTTCGTGGAGACTAGTGACTTGTCCCAAACCTAGAGTGGGGTTTGAAATCCTATGGGACGGGCTTTTATTTGTTATTGGTCTAGGGGACGAACCCGGTTTAAATTTAAAAACCAAAAAATAATAACAAGTGTTGGTACCACATGGCATGAGTTGCATTGAGTTTACATCGAGTCGCATGGCACATATAATTGTTGTATGAAAGTATGCGCATGTGTATGACTTATTGAATTGAGAGTTGTGAATGTGTGGTTGTTGAATGATATTGGCTGATGAAAATTGAAGTGTGAGAATATTGATGTTGTGCTGACATGCTTTACATTATTCATTATCTTATGATTTCAATATTGATGTGAATTCTCACCCTTCTGCTGGAATGATGTCCTATACGACATCGTGCAAGTATTAAGGAGTAGAACTGCTCGTAGTTGCAAGGTCGTTGTTGGTGCAGCTGTTTAGTATTTTAATTATGTTGGGTCGAGTCGTGCTCTGGTCGTGTAACACTGGGATCGCTTGGTTTATGTCTTAGAGATGCATTATGTACTCTACGCTATGTTTTTATATTCATCGAAATATTATGATGTTGGCCTTAGTGCCTAAGTAATGTTGATTTATGAGATGAACACAAATGTTTCCGTTAAGAGAATTATGATATAAATTGAATCCGCTGCTACATGTGAAGTGAAACCTTGAAAAGCATGATTATTCATTAAAGTGTTAATGAGCATGACAGATATTTGTGTGATGTTTTGAAATTATATGTGACACCCTTTTGTGAGATGCATGATAATTACTCTGATTATTTATATATATTCCGCGGGGTTAAGAAGGGTGTTACATTAGTGGTATTAGAGCCTGGTTGGTCCATCCAACCAGGTTGTCTAATGTTGTTTGTTCCCTAGTATGCGACATGTGTGTGAAAACATTGTCCGTACACGTTTGTTTTTATAAACCTTGTCTATAGGAGTGGGATTGAAATAAGTGGGGGAGAAGCTTGTGCTTTTCTAGGATGCTTCAAGTGTGGAGTGGTGGCTCAGTGTATTGTTAAACACTATTATAGTTC